AACTCGTCAAAGTTTGAAATAAAAAATATTAAACTAATTCGATTGAAGTTAAAATTTAAACTCGAACCTGAACCTTAAGTACATAAAAACTTTATATTATATATTTTTAAAAAAAGATAAATACATAAATGTTAATATTATTAATAATTTAATTTTTTTCTTAAATTTAATATATAATTTTTTCGAGTTGCTCGTGAAGTAGTTTGTTTCAGCACGTTAAGAACTTGAATCAAGTCCATTTGAATCGAGTATTTATCGAACGTTGACCGAGTTAATCTCGAATAGATCATACTGTCTTGTCTCATTTATAAACGATGCCATGCCATGCCATGAATCTTGCTGTCTATTATGTATGCATGTCTTCCATGTTCCTATCCTATCTCTTTTCATTGTCCGAAGGGTTCATGCTTGGGGATTTGATCGATTCCATAATTGATCATCCCTATACATGCATGCATGTTAATATTGTTTTAGAATGATAAGAAAAGCATGTCCAAAAATTATTAAGGGGATCGGGATAAAAACATAAATTATTAAGGGGTTAAATTTAAAAAATATATATTTAAATGGACTAAATTGAATTACTAATTTTTATGAGGGTCCAGAAACACAATTTCACTATTATCCAAGGGCCTGACCAGCGTCCCTTTGAATTTGCCCCTAAATCCTAAGATTTGGAATAAATATGGGCGGCGCGCAAGATAAAAGTATTCATGCATTGTATAATCCGACATCATAACTATTTATAGGTCGACATATTAGATATCTCTGATAATTATCATTAGGATTTCATTCTGGCTCGTCATGTGAGGATGTCAAGGTCTTGTCTTTACGTTATTTTTTTATAGGAATGAAGATTTATTAAAATCAAGAGATACGAACAACTTACGAGCCTCATTAAAAACCTCCCTAAACTGATTGGAGGAAAAGAGTGCTACATAAGAGAACAAATACAAACAAACATATCAATAACGAAAACCAAACCTACAAAGACAACAAAAGCGAACAAAGACAATACCAAAAAACAATCCAACCGACCAAACAAAGCAAACACTGCAACCAACTAAAAAACACATATCAATTTCAACCGTAGAGGCTATGTCGACTATATCAGCGCGAACAGAGACAACAAAAGCTAGATTCCAAAAGCTCCATAGACCAAAAATTGGTGTCTAAAACATGTAGGCTAGTCGAAGGCTCTAGTGAATAGAGAGGTTTCTAGAGATCATCATAAGTAGCATAACAATATGATTCTTTTAATCTAAATTTTATTTTAATTTGGAACTCACAATATGTAAGTTTTGTCTCAATGTAGATATTCGATACACTCGTTTCATTCTCTCATACTAATCTATCATTTTAATTTTTAGGATTAAGGGTCATCTTTGCCCATATAGTATACCATAATTATCATTTTTGTCCCAATCGTATTTTCGTATCAATTTAGCCCCCAAAGTTGTTTAATTGCATCATCCTATGCCATTCCCCTAACTTAAAACCCTAAATTATAAACTCTAAATTAGTGTTAATATGGTTATTGTTTAGGGTTTAAGCTTTATAATTTAGGGTTTTAAGTTAAGGGTAGGGATATAATAATGCAATTGAGCAACTTCGAAGACTAAATTGATGCGAAAATATGATAGTGGCGAAAGTGCTAAATTGGGTCTACTACAGGGGTAAAAGTTACACTTCTTGCCTAATTTTAGCCTAAATCAATTAACTCATAAAAACTCAACCCTAAACTCAAAGCTCATAAAACCACAAACAATTTTGATCTATAATATTAGTATTCGATCAGCGTGAAATCAATATATACAACTCGTTTCCTCCTTTTTCACCTCTCCACCGTTGGGATTTGAAAGAAGATTCTTAATGATTGAAAAATTTTAAAAAAATTGAAATTAGAAGTTTTTCCGCAAAAATGAAGAAATTTTTTAGGTCAATTCATACTTTTTAAGAGAAAAATATCTAATTATAACACCATCAAGTATCTAGCATAGAATTGACCAAAATAAAAATAAATCAAAAAGCTCAATGAATAAATTTAAAACTTTTAAATTTTAGTTACTAAAAGAGTAATTGAATGATGAAATTTAAAACATATTCTATATATATTAATTGGAATTAAGGTATCCATAGGCAATAGTGTACGGAAATGTTGTTCTTCCTAGTGAATCTGAATTTGAGTGGCAACATCTACATGGTATATATGCGTTATCAGTGGTTAAGAAAGATTCTGAACATATATAATCACCCCAAATTATAAAAAAATAATTAAGCATGATTTAATGTTATTTTTATTATTTTCTCAAAACTTTTTTTAACAATATTAATAATTAGAATTGATTTTTTAAATTTAAAAAAAATAAAAGACTAAATTCTAAATGTATAGAAAATACATGGATTTAAGCCACACATTAACAAAAGGAAGTGAGTCTTATTTTTTAGAAAATCATACCATATGAATATAACAGGTGATATGTGGATCAGATACGATTATTTATACTAGCATCCTTTGACTAACCAATGTTTATGATTTTGGGAACCAATTCCTGCCTACTTCTAGATACCTCATATTCTTTCAACCAAAATAATCGACCGTATGAAATAATCACGTTATATTCATATATGTTTTTCTTAATCTTATCGGTATAATAAATAATCTCACTAAAATATCTCTCTCCGTAAGTTTTTATCTTAAAAATTGAGTATAATTTTGTACGAATCAACTTATCTCGGTAATTAAAGGAATCATTGTTGTTTCTAGAGGTCTTGGGTTCAATAACTAACGGCTGCAACAAGGTGATTGAGCGTTCATTGTCAAATTATTAGAAATATTTAGAACATATACTACTTTGTAATCACCTTAGCTTAATTAAAAAAATTGAATATTAAATCCAAATCGAATCAGATGACAAGTAAAAAAATATTACACATAGATCAAATTCGGATAGAAAAAAAAACCTAGCTCAATTCAACCTAAAATTATCCCTAATTTTAGTTCTCCAATGTTTTTGTTTGGACACGTTGAATCATGTTTAAGGTTGATGTTTAAGTCATGTTGTCAACTCAAACTAAATTAACCGACAAAAAAGAAGATTAAAGAAGAAGATAAAAAGCAAAGCTTGACCAACGAATAGTCGGATGTCGGATGTCTCCCGAGTATATATATTTGATTTCTTTCCAAAGAAAAAGAATATTGAGATATTTTTTATAGTTTTATTAAAAATAAAAATATCTAGAATTATAATGAAGATTTACGAGCATAACCGTAATCATAAATTAAATTATAATTAGGACATTTTCCTATAACTATTAACACAAAAACTTGTCACCTAGATCACACAATGACCATAAAAGGAAAATGGATAAAAAAAACCCTAACAAATGCTCGAAAAAACTACTAAAAGATACCGACAAATCACAAATCAAAGTTAAGCGACGTGAGAAAACTATCCACGAGCACAAAACGTGTATCCAAATCAATCTGAGGGTTCAAAGCAGGGAAGATTAACATGATAATAAATAAGCACCATTTTGATTAGTTATGGCGATGTCAAATCCAACCCTGAAAAAAAAGATAAACGAAAACAACGACCAAACGACTGAAAACTACCAAATGACAGAGAAAAACGTGACACAAAGGCATAGATAAACATACCATAAAGGCAGAGATAAACTTGTCACAAAGACTGAATTATTCTTATTAAAAACTAAAAAAAAGAAAAAAGACAATCGACGGTCGTCAACCAGTATCAAAATCGGTGTTGCCGCCTGCTAAACAAAATCAAAAAAGAAAAAAAATTGATTTGACATATAGAAATTGACAAAAATTGTAAAGAAAAAAAAGGAGGAGAAGAGAGGAGGAGGGAAAGAGCGGTTAGGGTTTTAGATAATTGAGAAAGAGTGATTACTACAAGAATCAGATGCACGTTAGAGACGTAATTTAATGTGATTAAATTTGCTTATTTCCACAAAAGAGAGAAACAATTTTGAGAGAATTTTAATTTCGTTTAATGAAATTAATTTGATTTAGATATAGTTAAGTTATATGTTACTACGAGAGAATATTTTTCACCATTTAAATGTTCAAAATATACATCTCAAACCCCTTAAATCTAATAAAGTCCCAACTACCAAACCTCAAAATGATAAAGTTTTAATATTTAATTTTACAAGTTTTAAAAATATTTATAAAAATCTAAATAATAGAATGATAGAGAATAATGAGGCGAATTAATTTTTATATAATTAATGATGAAAACAAAACCTAACCTAAAATTGAATGAAATATTGAAAGATTGTAACTCTGTTTAAAGACATGAAAGGACTTAACTTTACATGTAATCAAACTCCCTACGTACAAATCAAGTTATTTAGGTGACTAAAAAGATTGTTGTTGCTTTTAGATATACTGATTTAATTATGGATGGGGGTGCGGGCAGTCGGTCTCCTGAAAATTTAAAATTATCATGTGTTTTAGATTTTTCTATATGTGTTTCTATTTAAATCTATTCCTCGAAGTTTAAATTCAGCCCTTAACATAGAATCATGTGTTCGCCCCTATATTCAAGCATCAACGACTAGAAAGATGATTGAGCGTTTATAATTAAATATTTAAGAATACTTAAAATAAATATTATTTTATAATCTCTGTTTAATAAAAAAAACTTGGTATGGCTACGGGGGTACGTGAAGAAATATCATGAAGTATAAATATGTAGGTGGAGATGGTAGAGACGTAGGTTTTATTCCTGTTAGTTGAGCACAAGCTAGCTAAAAGTTAAAGTCCCTTGACGAAGATAAATACATTAAAACGCTACTGACCCACACCGTTTCCTCTTTCAGGTACGAAACAGTGAAAACCTAATAGCTATGGTGTATTAGACTTCCCTCTTACATTCTCACAAACAACAAAAAAGCGGTACACCTTGTTGCCCTAAAGAGAAGAGATCAGGGAATTTGGGTTTCCGTTTTAATAATAAAAAAATATTGCAGTGATGGGGAGAGGGAAAGTGGAGTTGAAGAGGATCGAGAACAAGATAAACCGACAAGTAACGTTCGCCAAGAGGAGGAATGGGTTGCTGAAAAAGGCTTACGAGCTCTCGATTCTTTGTGATGCCGAGGTTGCTCTCATCATCTTCTCCAATCGTGGCAAGCTCTATGAATTTTGCAGCACTTCTAGGTATATATATATATTTATCTGGTTTTTCCTTGAAAAATCTCAATCTGGGTTATCCGCTTTTCTTTTCCCTTTGTCTTTGTTTTCGTTTTCGTTTGTTGTTGCTGTCGATTTTAAGTGATGGGTTTGAATCAGTTTAGTGTTTCATCTTCTCCTTCTTCATGATATGTTGATCTCATGGAATTAGGGCAGATTCGTTTTCATAGGGAAAAAAGTTTGCCCTTTTAGTTTTTGTTGTTGTTGTCGTTCTGGTTTGGGAGGGATGATTATGGGTGTTGGGGAATGTAAATTAATGGTGCTGTCATCTCTGTATCAGTGAACCGGTTAGCTTAAAACGTAGTAAGGTCCTTTGCAGCTTTAACGGAAAGACATTCAACACATGTACACATCGATATGGAACGTGTTTAAGGACAATGTCTTTGACTGTTTTTAGGACGGTTACACGTATAATGCATTGTCTGGACAATATCTTTGACCGCTCTTCACACATTTACATGTATAATACATTGTCCTCTTATTGTTATGCCTTGTGTGTTCACAAATCTTTGTCTTGCAGTATCTATTCTTCTCTCATGCATTCATTTCTTCTTTTGAAACTTGGTAGAGTTAATTATGAGATTTGTGTACGTATTGGGTCGAGTGTTAAAGAATTTAATATTCTTTAAATAAAATTGTAGACTTGTCTGGACTGATTTTATTGAATTATTGGATGAAAAAATAGACATATGAGATTTATAATAAGAGATGAAAAGATATTCACTCGAAAAAAATATAGAATTAATCTAAATTTTCTATTTTCACTCATCTAACGATCTTAAATCTGTATAAAACTGTTAGTTTTACATATATCAGTTTGATCTATTTTACTCCATTTATAGTACCGATATTTAAAACTCTAAACTTATTTATAGAATTTAACATCCCATCCTCTTAAATCGACTTATAGTTAGTACTTTTCTCATAGATTTTTAATATAGATGAGTTTCATCACTCTCTCCTTTATCTATAAACCCTAGCTTAAATTTCAAAAATAAAGAGAGGAAAAGAATAATTTTATCAAGGATAAATTAGCCCAAAATTGCCCCAATAAAAGGTAGCATAAAAGTAAAAGATAAGAGACACAAAACAAAAAGCAAATTCTTACAAGACAAAAAGAATATACCCATACTTGTGCTTTTTGTCCCAGTAATTAGCCAAGCATCTAGTTTTGTAATAATCTAAAAATTTGATGAATGGTAAGGAAGAGGTTCTAGGAATGTCAAGTTCTCAGACCTTATTGATAAGGGATGAATCGAGGGGGTGTTGAGGTACTGGAATGGAATCGCACATTAATTTCACACTTCCTAAATTTTTAGTATAATTTCTTAAGTTTACATCACTAATATAATATATTGTGTGTGTCCTTGATAAAGAGAGTTTGGTTCGAATTTGTCATATACTAACCTCCTTTCTTGACATGTATTATGCAAGCAGCATGGCTAAGATACTTGAGAAGTACAATAGCTACACCTATGGAGCATTGGAACCTGGTCAATCAGAAATTGACACTCAGGTGAATTAATTTAATCTCTTCTATTCCAGCCTTGGGCTCGAAAAAAATCCAAAAGTGTTGATGCATGTTATATCAAGCAGAGCAAGTACCAGGAGTATCTGAAGCTGAAAGCAAAAGTTGAGGTCCTTCAGCATTCACAGAGGTGAATTAAATAGTCTCTCTCGTTCATATTTGTTCATAAAATAAGTTGCTTGCTGTTCATGTGGAAAATATGTACTTTTGTGATGGGCAGACATTTTCTTGGGGAGAATTTAGGTGACCTGGGCACCAAGGAACTGGAGCAGGTTGAGCACCAGTTGGACTTCTCATTGAGGAAAGTCAGGTCTAGAAAGGTAATCAGAATCAACTTCTTTTTTAATTCAATTAGATGATTTAGGTCACAAAATAGTATCTTAGTTTTCTCTTTCATGAATGTAGATGCAGATGATGATGGACCAATTTTCTGAACTGCAAACAAAGGTATGTTAATATATTTCAACAAAGGTATGAATATGATCGACCAACTGCCATTGATATATTGTTCTTTATACAGGAAGAAGTCCTACTGGAAACCAACAGAAACTTGAGAAGGAAGGTAAAATAAAATCTTCAAAATCATTAATATTTTACGTCGGATGTTGAATGTAATCGATCTTAATAGCATTTGCTACGTTTGCAATACTTTGTAAGCTGGAGAAAAGTAGTTCCATGATACGATCGACGTGGGAAACAGGAGAGCAAAGCGTTCCATACAACCATCCGCCGCCGGTGCCGCCGCCACGATTGGATGGATTTTCCGAGCCTTTACATTGCTGCAATTCTCTGCAAATGGGGTATGTATTTTCATTTCTTTGCTGGTTGTGTCAATTATGTACTTCTGAAATTTGTTTTGCTTGGTGCAGTTATAATCCTCGTAATATAACAGACGAGGGTACTGCTACAGGCTCTGCAATTGCACCCAGTGGGTTCATCCCTGGTTGGATGCTTTGATTGTTTGAGGTTTAATCAAAAGGATTCTATATTTTCTCATATGAAGTGATTGGAAATTAAGAAATTGAGAATAATTTCTGCAGATTCCATGTTTCAACCTATATTTTGTTGCATCTCTTATATGGCGCATGCATCGGACGTTGAGAACCAATAATATAAAGACTCATCATCTTCTTCTTCACCATAATGCAGTGCATTACTGGTGGTTTAAGTGGATGGCTCTTGTCATTTCAAACTTAAAGCAAAGATCTTCCATATCTGGTGTCGGAAGAGAATATCTGAAGCAAAGGCATGACTAAAGTGAAAATTTGGGATGAAATTAAACCTTTGACACCTTCAATTTCTCATTTCGAATACTTTTTAATTCTCTATTAATTTTAGGGTAAATTGTGCATTTAGTACTTGCTTTTCCGAAACTTTATAACAAATGGACAACCTCATAACAAACGACATTACATTTCACATTTTCCAAACCATACATGTTTCCAAATGAACTTGCTTTTCCCCAAGGGTGAGAACCATTGATGAAGGCCAAAACAGTGAATATCATCGTGTTCCAGCTAAAGCCTAGCTATTGCTTTGTCACTGCCACAGCCTCACGTGTGTGTAAAGTCAATGTGACAACGGAAATACACACATACATACAAGGACGAAAATACATATAAAAAATCTAAAATATGTGACAAATTTAAATTTTCAGGAGGAGGAATTCCCCACCCGCCCCTGATCCATCTCTGCATACATATGTTAGGATCCACTTACGTTGTATAAAACTCTTTTAGTTTTATACATTCTTAGAATCATTAGATTGAGGAAAACCAAATGTTGAGATTAACTCCCAATTACGTAGTGTAAAACTAAAAACTTTTACACCTTTATATGATCATTAGATGAGGGAAATCAAAAGCTGATATCAATAGTACAAAATGAGAAGATATTCACTGAAAAAAATAAAGAGTTAATCTCATACTTTGATTTTCACTCATTTAACAATACTAAAAAGGTGTAAAATTAAAAGTTTTACCCTAGATGTAAGTGGATCTTACCCATATATATTATATTGGTTTCGAATTTGAATCCACAAGAGCAGGTGGGGCTAGGACAGTGCAATGCGCGGAACAGGGCCCCGTAATAGCAAGGCCCCCAAAAAATTAGATTTATTACTATTGTTACAATAAAAAAACAAACAAAGTATTATGAATCAGTGGTAAAATTTTTGGGCTCAAAACCATAGAACCTGTAGTCGAAGCTTGTTGAAGTCGTATGAGAAATACCAATAATTAATACTGTGCTACAACTGTAAAGCTTATCTCATTTTTTTGGGTCTAACTCCACTTTACGAGAAATGAGCTCATCTTCTTCAATTCACTTTACCAAACTTCAATTATTCATCTTCCCTAGTTAATTCTCATTCCCACCATAGTCATAAATTTTTACCTTCCTTTAATTAATTAGTTCCGTTAATCTCAATTTTCTAACAACCACACTATTTTTAAGAATTTGCATAAGGCCTCCAACGTCCTAGCTCCGGCCCTGCACGAGGGTGAGATTCCATTGTTTGGCTTTATATGTTACCGTGTTGCCACCAATATGAAATTTGTGCACAGCAACAGCAAGAATGCATGTGCCACTACGAAGATGCAAAAAGAAAAAGGAAATTATTGTGATAAGATTTGACATCTTTCAGACCAGGGCTTGCCCTATTTTCACTGGCTTCATGTCTGCATAGAGAACCTGTTCTTCAAACTGTGTTTCTTTGTTTTTATTTCTTCAATAAGACACGTCTCTTTCCTTTGTCATCCATTTTAACATGAATAAGTTCATATGGAGTAATCTAAAATAATACTACTATCCTGTCTTTATTTGGTAAGAAAGGAGAGAAATATGAAAAAGGGTGTCAAGGAAAATAATTCAAGCTCTTGGCAAGATTATTTTCCTAGAATCGTATATGCGAAGTGTTTGTATTATTTTTCCTTAACCTTTGTCTTGCATTGCTATTCTTGTAAATGGGGACAAAACTCGAAAATTAATTTCGACCGACTCCCTACCCTCTTACGTTTTCATCACTCAACTTTCTTTTCATTTTTATTTTAATCATTCGAGAATTAAATCAGAAATGAAAGAGTAACACGACAATTACGTGTACTGATTTTTGTTGGCCTGACATCCACATCGTTCTCTAACCACTCAAGATATCGAGAAACTCGTTTCATCGTCTACTATCACTCTATCAGTTTAGATTTCAACTAAATCAGTTTAAACATCATGAAATTCAACCCCGAAATTAGAACTCATGAAACCCTAAACCATTTTGATCTACAACATCCACAATGTAGTTAGTAATCGATATAATACAGCTCAAGATATCGATGAACTCGTCTCAACGTCTTTTATCACTATATCAATTCTTATTTCACCTATGTCACTCTAAAACTCAAGAAATTCAACCCCAAACCCAAAACTCACAAAATCCTAAACCATTTTAAACTATAATATCTACAATCCAATCAACACATAGTCAATATATACAACTCAAGATATCAACGAACTTGCATCATCATCTCCAACAAATCTATCAGTTTATAATATCCATGATCCTATCAACATGGAATTCATATATACAACTCTTTTCCTCGTTCTTCACCTCTCCACCACTGAGATTTGAAAGAATATGTTTTATTATTGAGAAATCAAAGGAAAATAGAAATTTAAAGATTTTTTTCAAAAAAAAAGAAGAAAATTTAGGTCAATTTCACAAATTTTAAAAGAAAAAAGACCAAACATAATAACATTAAATATTTAACGACAGAGTCATCAAAATAAGAGAAAATATATTTTCAAATAGTGAGTAAATTGCAATTTTTTTATATTACATTGACTGAAATAAAAGAGAAAAATTGAATGATTAAATTTATAAATTACTCTATTATTAAATAAATTTCAAACCTCAAAAAATATTTTCAAATTGAATCATGATATGATCTAATCCGATTTATGGATAAATTGATTCCAAATAAGATATTTCCTATGCTACCAAAAATACGACTCTCGTTAAATATACTAAGTGTATTTAGTATATAAACTATCGATTTTGATTTATTTTAGTATTTAAACTTTCAAAATTATCAAAAACATACATAACATTTAGTTTCAAGTGATTTGCATGTGACACCTTTTTAGGGTAAATTGCATCCTTCATCACTTAGCTATCTTTTCCTTCTATTTTGTCACAGAAGTTTAAATTTTTTAATTTAATTAGTTTAAATTTCAAATTATTCCCAATTTAACTATTTAACTTTCAAATTTAATTTTTTATTTTTAATTATATATTAATAAAATAATAATAAAAATGATGTCACAAAAAGTATTAATAAAATAAATTAGAGTGATTAAAATAGGAATAATTTGCAAGTTGAGTAGTTAAATTGAAAATTTTTAAACCATAGTATCAAAATAGGAGTGAGAAGAGAGTCGAATGATGACTGATGTAATTTACCAATAAAATTGTAGTGTCATTAAGTTTTTAACGACGATGTAGTAAAATGAAGCAAAATCTAAACGTTATGTATGATTTTTAAAAAAATAAAAAATTAAATACTGAAATAAACCAAAATTAATAGTTTAGGTACTGAATGCATAATTTACCCACATATTAATTCATGAGCACTAACTTCTATATGAAAGCAATGTACCTCCCTAACTCTACCCACAATTGGAGGAATTTAATTTTAGACAAATTGTGAAGAGATTAAATTACCATTTTAGAGTTTCATCATATTAAAGGGTAAAATACATAAATAGTTCAATGACTATAGGAGATTGTTTTATCGAGTCTTAAAATTATAAAATTATCCCCTAACTATAAGATATTACTTTTTTTAATCCCCTTACTATTAAAAATTAAAAAAATATCACCTAACTATTTATTGTGTTCCAAACTCGTCATTTTTCGTTAAAAATTGATGAAAATGACGAGTTTGTAACACGATGAATAGTCATGTGATCATTTTATAACTTGCAATAATCAGGGGACTTAAAAGTAATTTCTTATAATTAGAGAATCATTTTGTAACTTTTAATAGTTGGAAGACTCATTAAAGCAATACTTTATAGTCAAGGGACCATTGTGTATTTTACCCTAAATTAAATTATTAAAAATATTATGACATATTTATTTCAAGAGAGAAAGATCTCCGCCGTCAGCTGGGGAGTGTGTGACAGCCAAGGGTCTCCGTACAGATATCTGACGGCATCTATGGGCTGCGTTCCAACACGAGACAATAACGACTGAACTGTTATGTTCTAACCAATGAGAATCCGACAGCACATCCTTAAAAACCACTCTGGTTTTTTAACTCCAAACCCACTCCTCTTTCCCCTAAAACCACTTCCACTTTCAGGTTTTTTTCCTTCCCTTTCTTTCTAATTTGTCTCTTCGTTTTCCAATTCTATATATGTGTGCATGCTTGCCCAGATAAACACTTCACATCTAGCAAGCAATAACAGGAAGAAAATAAAATCAGTTTCCTCCATCTTCTTCTTCCTCCTTCATCTTCTTCGTTTTCTGAGTTTTTTTTGGTCATGGGGAGGGGGAGGGTTCAGTTGAAGAGGATCGAGAACAAGATCAACAGGCAGGTCACTTTCTCCAAGAGGAGAGCCGGGTTGTTGAAGAAAGCTTATGAGATCTCCATTTTGTGCGATGCTGAGGTCGCTCTGATCGTCTTCTCCCACAAAGGGAAGCTCTTTGAATACTCCAGTGATTCCAGGTAAATTTTCACCCTTGCTTTTTTTTTACCTGCTGAAAGTTCTTCGGCAGCTTTCCTGCAAAAGTTTTAGCAGGTGAAATTAAGGGGAATGTTAATGAGTTTCAGGCGAAAAGGAGACCTTGAAAACGTGACTATAACTATATCGGTAATGGAATTTACGAGTGTTTCGGGGATGTTGAAGTAGCAAAAGAATGGAAACCTTTAAAAGAAAGTTATTGACCAATGGAAGAAGAAGAAGAAGAAGAAGATATGATATATACATGTATACCGATGGTCAAATTATAACTTTCTCAATTAGGAGAAAATACAAAGCATCTGTTGTATGCACAGAACTCCATCTTTTGGCATCTGAAAAGTAAAAAATCATAGTGAGAAACATATATTTCTTCTAAAGATAGAAGCATGATAGACCATAACAGCATGGTTATATGAAAATTCATATACATGTATATTTGGCAATTTATTTTCTTTTTGTTCTTAAATTAGGGATTTTTGCAAATTTCTTTTAGAAGAATAAGGATTTTTGTAAAAAAGAAAAATAGAGGGTAGTAGGGTTAGGGCACAAAGAGGGCTTGAAATTCCAATATTCCTTCATAGACACTTGCTTCATATAGCCCTAAAAGAAGCTAATGAATTGGTTTCTAAAATTTATATATTTAAGAACTTAACTCACTCTAATATGACATTGAAAGATTCTTCAAATACATGAAAATTTAAGGAAAAAACCTAACTATACACGCGAAAACGATATGGAAATTTCTTTAAGAAAAAGAAACGATTATTGTGTATATGCATGCTTTACTTGGAAAGCATATATTGTCCATGCGAGACTGATATGTTTTTATCATCTTCTGCAACAGCATGGAGAGGATCCTTGAACGTTATGAAAGGTATTCGTATGCAGAGGGACAGCTTGTTGCATCTGAGTCTGATCCTCAGGTACAAAAACACGTCTTTTTCACGCCGTTAATGTTTCGCCAGTTTCCCATGATGATTACCGTCTTAATCTATATTGTATTAGTGTTTGCAAATGGCATTTTGACAGCAAAAAAGGGTCCGATTTGAAGTTTACGTTTTTTTCCCCTAGCTTCTTAATGGTTACAGCTGTCGTTTCATTACAGAATCTCAATTTTTTCCTTTAGGTAAAATAATTTTGGTCTGAAAAATTGTGTTGGAATTTGAAACCTGTTTGTGACAGGGCAACTGGTCCATGGACTACAATAGGCTCAAGGCTAAGGTTGAGCTCTTGCAGAGAAATCACAGGTATTTGCACAAGTTCATGTGCTCATATCTGAATATGTGTCAAGCATCATAAGTTCATGTGTCATATCCGAATACGTGTCGAATACGAATTTTATAGCGACATAGTAAAAAAATCGAAACTTTCAAATCTTACATTGGGCTTTATTTGCTCTTCAGGCATTACATGGGAGAAGAATTGGACTCACTGAGTCTCAAGGAGCTGCAGAATTTGGAGCAGCAGCTTGATACTGCTCTTAAGCTTATTCGTTCGAAAAAAGCATGTTTTTTCCTATGTTATAGTCATTACCATTAGAATATGTTTTCTTTTGTTTAAATGATGAATTTTGTGGCCTTTCTATCTTTCTGCAGAACCAACTCATGTATGAGTCAATCTCTGAGCTTCAAAGAAAGGTACGGACACTGACACATAGAACATATATGGAGCATTATATGAACTCGAATTGTATAATTCTTACTGGTGTAAGAATTCTAGTTGTAACAAGTGAACGAAGCTAATCGATTTCGGTTTTCGTAATGTCATCTCTATTTGCGGTGCCTATATGACAGGAGAAGGCAATACAGGAGCAAAACACCATGCTAGCAAAGCAGGTGACTAGCAAAACACCATGCAGTTTTAGCTATTGAATCGATTGTAAGAGTTTTAGCAAAACAAATCTTGAAGTTTGCGATCTCTTTTGCATGCGTAGATCAAGGAGAGGGAGGAGACAGTCGCGCAGCAGCAGCAGTCACAGTGGGGGCAGCAAAACCATGGCCTCAACTCATCATCCTTTCTACTGCCACAGCCTCCGCCCTGTCTGAATATCGGGTAAAACCCTAAACGTAGGCCAAAGAAGGCAATCCCAAACATTTTCGAGTGTCTATAATGAAAGTGGCAATAACTCAGTTAAAGATTTGGTTGATGCAGCGGCACATACCAGGAAGAAGCAACAGAAATGAGGAGGAATGAACTTGATCTTACTCTGGAACCTATTTATTCATGCCATCTGGGATGCTTTGCTGGTTGAAAATCGGTACAGTTTCATCAATGCTTTCGAGTTTATGTTAATATGAACATAGATCCATGCAAAGGATGAGAAAGAAGACTCATGCCTTTTATGTCTACATTGATTTAACATATATATATATATATATATATATATGTGGACGATAAGTGTATATCTGGATCTTGTATTTCTGTCGTTATCAGTTGCAGCCTATCACAAGGCAATTTGCATCAGGAAAAAAGATACATTGTTTAATGCCATTGTATGAATGGCAATGCACTAACCTGTAATACTTGCTTATCAAACTACAACCCCAAAAACTTGTTGAAATGTGCCCTTAAAACTAATTAAAAAATCAGGTTAATCTTCGGTGTGTGTGTCTCCGGTGATCCGATTTCAAGTTGCTTCATCAAACATCTTCTTCTGCAAATTCAGTTGATAATCAGCCATATGTTCTAGGAAAAGGTCGAATGAATCAAACTAAGCATGCTAGACAAAGTATGACACTATAATTGTTCATCTATATGATATGAAGAGCTAACAGTTCCGGTTTAGCATTCGATTCTCGACATTCAATGAATAACTGTTAGGTAATGGTTGATAGAACTTAAAACAGCAGTTAAATGTTAAGAATTATGAAACAATTGCAGAAGCTTGTAAGAAATGCATTACCTTTCCACAAATTGGACGGTTTTCTGACCTCTCCATCCACTCGTATATGCTACCGAGGTGGTAGCTGTGGGAACATTGAAGAACTATTCGTGGATTTTCACGTTCGTACTCTGCGACGATAAATCGATAATCGAAATCAGTCGAATTAAGACAATGTACATCTAATATAAACTGATTAAGGAATCAACAATCCAAAAGGTGCTTATTTACCATCAAGACATGTGGGACAAACGTCCTCATCCTCTGATGATCCATAGGCACAAGCAACTTCAGCTTCAGGTTTCTCGTTCCAGAACTTCGACCGGGACTCTGCCGTCGATCTTCCTTTGCGTCGAAGTCCACTCGACTTGTCTCCGTTACTATCATTTTCACGTGTTTTAATCCGTCGATGATCCTTGTCGGTATCTTCTTTGAAGTACAAGACACTTGGAGCCAATGTGACAATATTGCCAGACTGTATATCATCAGATGCAGCATTGAAATTCGGAGGGGCTGAGGCTTGAGAACTCGAAGCCGGGGCATCGGATTGTTTATCGCTGTTTACTCCGGCGAACTGCAAAACGACGAGTGCATAGAATCAAAAACATCTCGAAATTGCAGGTCTGTTCATATTCGAAACTAAAAACAAATCTGTCTCAAACCTAACTCAAAGGGACACTATAATTCTACACGATACCTTGTCCCATAGGGCATGGATGGAGTTCTGGGTCTGATAAAGGGAACCGTCTTCTTCGTGTTCGCTGATGTGCAAACTAGAACAACAAGCTCCCAAGGATTTAGTTCACTCAATTTCAAAAAACAAAGAAAGATTGAATTAATGATGGGATTCGATTTAATATAAAAATATTATAAAGTTGAGAGATTTAAAGGTTTGGAATTTATACCTAGAAATAAACTGCGTAGGACTCTAATTCACATTTTGTGGCGCCCACGAAGCTTCTTTATTTGCACAAAAGAAATTAAATTGGAAACTTTTTTATAGACGTTTTTTTCGAAAAATTATCGGTGATCGGTATATTTAATGATCTAACATCGGTCAGATTATATTTTTGATCTAACACCCGTAGCAGTAAAGCGCGTTTCCTGCCCCGCGATATATGCTGATTTGGCGTCACGTGAGGTATAACGCGCCCCCTGTACCGCGTTATACGGTGACATGGCTTACACGTGGGTATAGCGCGCCTCTGATCCGCGCTATACGCCACGTAGGGGTATAGCGCTGCCCTGCTCAGCGCTATACTTGGGTATGAATTATATTTAGCGCGGACCCTGGTCCGCGCTATACCTTTATCTGAATAATTACATATAGCGCGGTGCAGGTACCGCACCTTATATGGTTATAAATACCCTTCGCTCCCTGTTAAGTTTCTCACATTTCCTCATATCTCTCTCCTCTAACTTATAAATTAATACAACAATTCCGTCAACGAGTAATAATTCTGATAATTTTCTTATATTTGATTTAGAAGTTCGTGTGATTTTTCGTTATAAATTTCGTTATAATTTTTTTATTATACTTATTGTTTATTATAATTATTTGAAAAAAATATTATACTAATTATTTTCAATTAATTTTTGTGTTTGTAAAATTGAAAAGCATGAGCATACGTCAAAATAGTTTTGTGGTACAGGTAATAATATAAAATTAAATTATTTAAATTATTTACGTTGATGTGTAAAAAATTTATTGTGTTATATTTTCGTTCATATATAATTTATTTAATCAGATTTGTTTCAGTTATTTTTTTCCAGATATAATATTGCCGCACTTTTAATCAGGTTCGTTCATATATTAAAAATATTATAAAATATACCTTAAATAGAGAGAGTATTTGAGAGAATTTGAGAGAATATGGTGTGATGAAAGTAATAGAGGATGTGTATTTATAGAGAGGATTGGGGGTAATTAAAGGTATAGCGCGCCTCTTGTACCGCGCTATACCTCACGTGTCAGATAAACAGATATAGCGGGGATCAAGGGCCGCGCTATACCCCACGTGTAAGCCATGTCAGCGTATAGCGCGGTACAGGGGGTGCACTATACCCCACGTGGCGCCAAATTAGCATATAGGGCGGGGCATGGAGCACGCTTTACTGCTATGGGTGTTAATCGAGAAATATAATTTGACTGGTGTTAGATCGGTAAATACCGTCACCGGTGATTTTTCGTGAAAAACACATTTTTTATATGTATATACTTTTTAAAAAATTATGCATAAAATAATATTATTAGTAATTTGTATAAAAGATATATGATCAGAGATGGACCTTAGGGGTATTCAAAAATATTCGATCCGATTGATCTGACCTGTCGACCTAGTTAAAAAATATCGGATACTTATAGTAAAAATATCTGATTTTTCGGGTTGGGTACCCAACCTGCTATTTTTTTGAGTTTTCAGGTCGGGCTCAGTTCACAAAATATTGCTTTTCGGTACCCGCCGACACGGTACCCAGTTTATTATATATATATATATATATATTATTTTTATTTTATATTAAATTTCTATTCATAATTCTCAATTTATTCACTCTAACATTCTAAATTCTTAATTTCTTAAATTTTACTATCATATCTTTCTAAATTCTTAATTTCTTAAACTATTTTAGATTAACATTCTAAATTGTTTTTTAAAATATTAATTTTAACTTCAAAACATTTGAAATTTATTTATATTTCTTTATATTAAGTTTTAATAAATTTTATTTTAATTATTTAATTTGAATTTTTAAATTTTATGTGTGAATTATATATATTATAGACCTTTAAGTTTAAAATTTAAAATTTTTCTATATATTTTTAAAAAAATATATAATTTAAAGAATAAAAAATAAAAAATAACAATTATGGATTGGGTATCCGTGACCTAAAAATACGGGTATCCGGATTTATAGGTAATCGGATGTAATGGGCCGAGACACGAGCCGACGTTTAAAATATACACTTAACCTAAACTTGATTCGAGTCAAAAAATATATACCCTCCATCCGACTTGACCCAATCCAAAAAGCATATATCTTTCGGCTGAAACTAATTCACCCCAAATTTTTAGAGTATAAATTCGATCCGATTAATATAAAATAAAAACCTAATTAAAAAATAGATAAGTGAGATATTATAACAATTATTCATAAATTTATATTAAAATTACACTATTACCTCTAGATATGAGGTTTTTATCCTTCACTCCAATACGATCTGACGTCGGTGTACATATGTAGGGCATTAAATGGGTAAATTGCTTCATGCAAATGTCAAATCAAACAAAGTTAAAGAATTTGGAATGGACCACTCACCTATTTGACCTTACTTTTTGCAAGTAATATTAGCTTTAATTTGTTAATTTCTTCTAAATAATCACAACTTTTGTTGCCAAATTAAAATCATATGACTTGACTGACCCCTTTTTATGCTTTTGTAAATTCTAAGGACTTATAAAACAATATTCTTATACTTTAAGATATGTTGTGACAATTTCTTCTTTCCTTTTGCAAATTGTTTTGTTTCTAAGAACTTCTAAATCTTCACACTTATTTTACAATTAATCACTAATATTTATTTGTAATAAAATAGTCACTAATATTATTAATTTATAACAAAATGGTCACTCCACCGTATTCTCTGTTAATTTGATAACACGAGAACATTAATAAAAAGGTTAATATTTAGTTTTACCCTAAACTATTGCTAAAACATTAAAATTAGCTTATTAGCTTACCCTTATTCCCATATGTAATGGGGTAAGGGGGAGGTAGGATAGTAGGCTGCCCCCAACGCCAGGTTAAGAGCAGCTTTCGTAGGAGACCTCCGAATTATGAAATGCCCTCCGTGAGACTCGATCCCACGACCTCAAGGTTAAGAACCTTGTGATCTACCAACTGAGCTGGATGGTCATTAAATAAGTCCTTAAACAATGATTTTATATTTAATTTATCTCGAAAGCTTACTAATTTATATATATATTTAAACACCCACCACCACAATTATATTCGAACCACTTTCCTTACAAAATGAAAATCACACTGCATAGAAATGGAGTTTTCCATTAAGACAAATACATGTGTATTTAAAGCCATATAATCAATTAATTTTAATGTAAAAAATAATACTTTCGGGAGGTTTTCGTTTGTAAGGAAAATGGTTAGAATATTTAAAGACAAATAAGAGTTTGTTTAAGTGTGGTTTTCGTTTTGTAAGGAAAGTGATTAGAATATAATTGACATGGTGGGGTGTTTAAAAAAATTGAAATCATAAAGTTTTTGGGATAAATTAGATATAAATTATTGTTTAATGACCTATTTGATGTTTTAGCAATATTTCAGGGGTATAACTAAATATTTACCTTTTTATTAACGATAGCAAGTTATCAATTTAACAGAGGCAATGGTGGAGTGACCATTTTAGTACAAATCGATAATATTATTGACCGTTTTGTTACAAATCGATAACGTTAGTGACTAATTTGTTACTTTTGAAACTTTAACAGGTAAACAAAAACTTACTCAAAACTGGTAACCATTGGTGTAGTTTACCCTATTATTTTATAAAACCCTTGAAAAACTATAAAATTAAATTGTTATACAGTAAAATTATATTTAACCACTATTAGTGAATGGGAATATACAGTTCAGAAAACTTCTGATATGACGGAAGTTTTATATAATTTAGGGTAAACTATACATTTAGTATGTAAATTATTAATTTTGACCTCTTTTAATACTTAAACTTTTAATTTTTTCAAAATCATACCTAATGTTTAGTTTTTTATTTCATTTTAGTACCCATCGTTAAAAACTTAACGTATTTCGTACTTAAACTATTAGTTTTGGCCCGTTTTAGTACCTAAATCTTCATTTTTTTTCAAAACTCACATTAAGTTTTTAACGGATAATAAAATAAAATAAAAAATAAATGTTAGGTACGGTTTTAGAAAATCAAAAGTTTAGATACTAAAACTAGGGATGGGCACGGGGCAGGGTTGGCCGATTTTTGGTCTCCCTGACCCCGACATGAAAATATATCTTATATTGAAGAATTTTAAGATTTTTTAGCCTCCAACCTGCCTCAATTTTAGACTAAAACCAATTCGATCAAATATATTAATATTTTAAAAATAAAATAATATACTTTATAAATTATAATAATATATTTATAAATATTTTTTACATTTTAAAATGCTAAAAATAATATATTTTATAATAATATATTTATAATTATTTATTATATTTTAAACGGTTAAAATAATATTTATAATGATTTTTAGTAATTAAATAATATATTTAAATAATATAAAAATAAAAAATTTCAAAAATAGACCCGAGTTGATCCTTACCATGGAGAAAATAGACCCGAGTTTTAACTCGGCCGGAAAATCATGGTAGTCGTTGATTCCACCATTGAAGCCAACGGAGCTTTGCAGTGGGCAATGTCTTATGCCGTCCAATGTCATGACACGATGGTTCTTCTCTCCGTCACGAAGCCCTCGAAACAAGGTTATATAGCTCCTTGTCTTGAAATATGATTTTTTTTAAACTATATATAATATATAAATATAAATTATATAGTTTATATATATTATATTATTATATAGTTTTTATATATATATTAATATATTATAATTATTATTTTTTTAATTTTTGAAATGAATGCAGTTTAGTTCATTTTACATATTTTTTTTAATATTTTACAATTATTTTGATTTGAATTTCATATTTGTAATTTCATATTTATTCAATTTAGTTCTTAAAATTATATTTGCATATGAAATTGACTCATACTTATTACTTATTTATATTTTTGTAATGGACCCATAACTTTTTAAATGGGTATAATTTAATACTTTTTTATATTAATTTTAACTTCACATTTTAATTTTTTTTATTTTGTCCCTCATCAATGCGTGTTGTTTAATTTATTTAAATTTTTACTTGTAATTTCATATTGGTTCAATTTTATCCTTAAAATAAAATTTTATCAAAATTGATCAATAATTATTTATTTTTAGTAATTTACTCTAAATCATATACAATTATAAATTGCAATTCAACGTTAACGAAAGGCGAAAAATAATTAATCCAAAAATAAAAAATGACTCCATCTAAAGTCAATCCTTATTCGGTAAAGATTCGACCTGATCTGAACGAGATCCGACTGAAGTCCATCCGAATTTGAATTAACATGGTGTTTAACTGTTCCGGACCTGACCCGTTTTGACCCGAACTGACATCGATCTTAACTGGAATTAACCCCACCTAAACCCGAACTGAATCGGATGTCAAATCAACCTGAAAATGACCCGAACCCGATCCAATTTGAGTCCAACCATCAAAATGATCTGATACGACTTGTATCTGATTTTACCTGACCCGACAGAATCCGATTGAAACTTGAACGATTACATGATTTTACATCCTAATTTCTGGCTCTCGGCTTAAACTCAAACCCCATCGTTTTTATAATTATAAGTTCCGGTCCCTCTAATGTATAGAAATTTGAGATTTAATCTCTAAAACCCTCAAATTTCAGTATATACAGTAGAGGGACCAAGACCAAAATTTGACCTTTGTAAATACAATACTACTAAAGTGTGTATTGAGAAAAAGGAAAAGAGGGGTTGGTGTGTGGGTGAAAATTTGACCTGATGCTTTAATGGCCTAAAAGGAATGTTTGTTGCAGTGGAGATGCTGGGTTTGGATCAGCTTTGCTGAAGCTGCAAATACACCATTAGACTGTACTATGCAATTGCTGTAATTTCACAACAAATTTGGCCTTTGAAAAACGGTTTTCTTGGCCTAAAGGACAATCTTTTTTGTTGAAATAGCGAGTAGTGACCCTTATTAATCATGCAGGATCAAATGATGAATGTCCTCTGGTTTCTACTTAAAAGGACACATTGAATGTGTAAGTAAACTTGGAGTGGAACATCCTAGCAGTCATGTAGGGAACTTCAGGCGCAGATGTCCCTTCCGAAGACGATCGAGACACAGGGAAGCCGTTACCGGAGTTAGAAGCGATGAAATATGAGCTGCCACTAGTCCAATTCCGGCCATCATACGATAAAGCTCGCAAAGCTGAAGAGCCACAGTCGAGAAGAATGGATTCCAATGGAGAATAATCTGCTGAAACATATGGTTTTTGATGAAAATGTATATACATTTCAAGCAAAGAATGATCATTCTATCTAGTTTGGCTTCTCCCAATTATGTCAAGCTAAATCATATATATCAGCTATCTCGGTATTAGGCCGAGGTCGATGTCGTTGTCGTTCTAGCTGTTCAGCTCCGGGAATTCAACGGCGCCGTGCCTACGGAGGCTTAATATCTGGTAGGCACCAGCTCGTAGCTTTGATAATGGCCTAATAAACAATACCAGATATTACTGGCAAAGTGACCTTTTGCAAAGAACTCGACTTTGGTGGGGTCATAATTATATATTTTACTTGTTTATCATAGTTTGATGACAAATGATGAAACTTAAGCTACTGTATACTCATATGGGTGTTGTTTTGTGATAGACCCTTTCAAAGTTTGTTTATTTATTCCACCAAATCATGACGAGATTTGTTGCTTGTCAATTTACAAGTTGTGCTTATAATAGGAAAACAAACGGCAATAGGAAGAGATAGAGCCATAGAGGTGAGTGGTGACAACATGATGACCGAGTCAAACTCTGTTTTCAGGTAGAAACGGACAAATGAATTTATATTAGGAGATACGAACTTAAGAAATACATTAAAAATTGTAAGGATGCGAAATTAAATAATCAATAATCTAAATATAACGGAATTTAATTTTTTTAGAGAATTTGACCCCTTAGCATCCATTCGGTCTATCCTTGATTCCAGGTCCGGTTGAAATTAGAAGATTTAATGCATATCCCATAAGGTACTGGGCCAAATACCCAAACAGATTCCCCAAATGGCTCCAACTCGCATTTTTGGGTCTAACTCACCTGAGTTGAATTCGAGTTATTATCAGACTAACAACAACCCCCACTCTCAAGGTACGCATGAAAGATTGCGAGGGATAAAGTTAAGGGTAAATTATGCGTTTAGTACCTAAACTATTAGTTTTAGTTTGGTTTAGTATTTAAACTTTCAATTTTTTCACAATCATACCTAAAGTTTAGTTTTTGCTCCATTTTTGTACCCATGTTCAAAATTTTATATTAAGTTTTGGGGGGGAAAATGAAAGTTTAGGTACTAAAATGGACCAAAATTGATAGTTTATATACTAAATGCATTAAACTTTTAACAGTGGGGGTACTAAAATGAAACAAAAACTAAACGTTAGGTATGATTTTGAAAAAAATTGAAAGTTTAGGCACTGAAAAAGACCAAATTGATAGTTAGGTACTAAATGCATAGTTTACCATAGTATGTTTTCAAATTATAACTCTAATTTTAAGTTGGTGTTTAAGATTTTGAATATTTTGGTTCATCCTTAAATTATGACTCTCATTCTAAATCAGTCTTTAAACTTTTGAACATTCTAGTTTTACCCCTAAAGTATGACTTTTTCTAATTTGGTCCCCAAACTTTTGAATATTCCAATTTCATCCCCAAATTCATCCAATATGTAATTAGTTTCAACCATAATTTAGCCTAAATTTTTTTCAAACATATACTAATATAATTTGGCCTAACAATTTTATTAACAAGGGATAAGATTAGTATATATGTATAGTTTGGGATGAAATTAAAATGTTCAAAAATTTGGGGACCAATTTAGAATGAAGGTCATAGTTTGGGAATGAAATTGAAACATTCAAAAGTTTGAGAAGTAATTCATAATGATAACCATAGTTTAAGGATGAATTAGAATATTAAAAAAGTTTAGAGACCAATTTAAAATGAAGATCATACTTTGAAGACATGTGATGCAATTAAAACAACTTAGAAATCTTGAACCTCAAACTCATAATATTAAAACCAACATGAATTTGACTAGCTTGAACAAATTTATAAATTAAAATATGCTTAATACAAAAATCAGTGTCCAAACTATGAATGGAAAAACATTTTAGTGTCGAAAATAATTTTTTGCTAAAAATAGGTAACTAAGGTTTTCTCAGTTATATTTTTATGTGTATACCTTTTATTTTTATTTTTAATAATAAAAATATTATTTTTAATTAAAAAAAATAAATAAAATAAAAAGTATTTATAAAAACTTAATTTTATTAAAATATAAAAAATCCCTAAAAAACTAAAATCTCTCATTTTAATCACCATTAAACTGTCGTCGGTCATCTTGACCACCATCGTCATCGCCGAACGGTCCCCACCGTCGTTATCTACTCATTGATCAATTGTTGTCCTTACCGTCAACCAAAATCCCAAAATCCAAATCCCTAACTCTCAATTTCAATTTCCCAACCCAAATGGGCGCCGACTATCTCCGGCCATCATCGTCATCGCCAAACGGTAGGGGTTTTTATCGGAATTGCACGGTGGTTCGAATGGCGACGGCGGTGTGACTTATGAACGACGGAATCGTCGAAGAACGACGACGATATCCAATGAACCTTTGAACGCTTCTCTATGACAAATGGTGTCATATTACGAGGAAAGGTCAACGAAGGTTTGACAGGAAGTTGACTCTGATGTTGATGACGGTGACAGTGACGATCACTTCTGATTGGGCCGACAACTATGAAAAGGAGAAGAAGGAAGAGAGAATGGAAAGAGGGGAGGGAATGGGGGTTATTATTTTTTTATATACAATTTTTTTTTTCATTTTTTAAATATTTTTTAAAAATTATCATAATGTGGTATGTGTCACTTAACGTAGATTTTTAATAACAATTAACGCCAGAACACTTAAAAATATAACGTTTGAAATATTAGATACTTATTTTTAGTAAAAAATTCTTTAAACATTCAAACATTATCGATACAATTAATTTCTGACACTTATTTTTGCATTAAACCATTAAAAATATTCAAAAATTTAGGATATAACTTAAACTATAAATTCACACCATCAAATATTTTATTCCACTTCCTTGAACAAAACCGTGTGCCTCTTGAAAATCCGTAAAACCACTGAGCGCATAAAAATAACGAAACCGACAACAATTTTTTCTTTATTTAAAAAAGCAAATTTATTTCACAAAATAAATATTAATGAATATAAAACACAAACTCGTGATTTTCTTTATGCGATGAACAATTCGAAACAAATGTGACATTGGACCCATTAGCAGCTTGCTGCATCGCATTGGTTTCGTGCCAGTCATCTTTGAGTCAGAGACACCAAACCACCATAAACGAGACACCATTTGAATCACATGACGAGCACCTAACCACCTCCATCCCCACACATAAATAGCATAAACGTTGATATTTGATCTACTATCGATGTATTCATATCCGGATCAGAGTTGTTATCCAAATCCAAAGTTTAATATTTAATAACACGATAATGATTCACATGGAGCCAAATCTTCGGCCATCAGGCATCTGATCTTGTTTTGCTCTCCAGCTTTCGTCCCCATCAAGACACAGCCAATTTTCTTATCAAACAAAGCAAAAAATGTAGAGTTCCAGCAAGCGGAAAATGGTAGATCCAACCATGCTTTTCTCTCGGCCTGTTTCTGCATCTGCTTGCTCCTAGTTATCTTCAAGTTCTTGCAAAGATTTTGGTGGACTCCGGTTTACGTGCAGAATCTACTAGGCTTGTTAAGTTTCAAAGTTTGACAACCAACTTTGGAAAATGTTTTTCAAAGTTTGGTAAATGTTTCTTTGAAAAATGTTTTTCAAAGTTTGGTAAATTTTGGTAGATGTTTATTGAAAATATGAATGGGTAAATTCACTTTAGTCATTGCACTTTAGGGTATTTTCAAAGATTAGTCCCTAAATTTCTACTATAAATACCCTTACCCATTTAGCTTCAAAATCATCCCAAAACATTTCTTTCTTCATATACTAGAGAGCTTCTTGTGAGTAGTGAGTGTTTGTAAACACCTGTAAATTTTCTCTCTTAGTAAAAGATCTGCAGCAGCCCGGAGACGTAAGCATAATTGGCTGAACTCTGTTATCAATTTTCGGGTATATTTTTCCGCTTTTATTTTGCATTCTCACTAATATGGTTATAGGGAAATGTACTCGGTTTTATTTTCCTAACAACTGGTAATCAGAGCTTTTGGTTGTGAATTTTGTCAATTTTTCTGCAAGGTTACTATTCATTACTATTCACGTGAATAGTGAATTTCGTGAATAGTGAAATTCGGTCGGCGATACGAGTTTGTCGACAGTGGTGTTCTAATACACGGGTGGTTCGCAAGAATTGTCAGAAACGATCCAAAAGAAGCCAGATTCGAGTGGAAGCGATGGCTGCAGACGAAGAGAAGGTAAAATTGAAAAGTTCGATGGTGCGGACTTTGGCTTTTGGAAGATGCAGATTGAAGATTTTTTGTACCAGAAAAATCTATATCAACCTCTCTCAGGAAAGCAATCAGAGGGCATGAAGGATGAAGATTGGGCTCTTCTCGACAGACAAGCTCTCGGAGTTATCCGACTGACGTTATCCCGCAATGTTGCTTTAACATAGCAAAGGAAAAGACAACGGCGGGTCTTATGGCGGCTCTCTCCAGTATGTACGAGAAGCCATCGGCCTCAAACAAAGTCATTTGATGAGGCGATTATTCAATTTGCGGATGGCGGAAGGGGCATCGGTGGCACAACACCTAAATGAACTCAACACAATCACAAACCCAGTTGAGTTCAGTGGAAATGAGTTCGATGATGAAGTTCGAGCTTTAATTCTCTTATCATCTCTACCAGACAGTTGGAATGCTACTGTTACAGCAGTCAGCAGTTCATCGGGAAACAGCAAATTAAAATTCGACGATGTTCGGGATCTGGTATTGAGTGAAGAAATTCGACGAAGAGAATCGGGTGAAGCATCAACCTCCTCAGCCTTACACACGGAGTCTAGAGGAGAACTTCAGAAAGAAATTCAAATCGTGGCAGATCAAAATCTAGAAGGGCAAATCAAGAACAGGAGGATTACTGTTATATTGCGGCAAAAAGGGCCACTTCAAAAGAGATTGCCGAGCACCGAAGAAAAATATCGGCGCACAGGAATCTGCCAACATGACGGAGGAGACAGGTGATGCCATGATTTTAAGCGTCAACAGTCCGATTGAATCAT